TTGACTATTTTTTTTTGGGGGGGGTACCGGGGATTGAATTCAGGGACACTAGTCCACTGAGCCACATCCCCAGCCCTATTTTGTATTTTATTTACAGACAGCGTCTCACTAAGTTGCTTACTGCCTAGCTAAGTTGCTGAGGCTGGCTTCGAACTTGCCACCCTCCTGCCTCAGCCTCCTGAGCCATTGGGATTACAGGTGTGCACCTCCACGCCTGACTTATACTTTGATTCTTAAAGGAGAGATTAAGAAACATACACATTTATTGGGCAAATCTTGTCACTTCATGGTGCTAGAGCTAGAAAAATGAGTAAAGATAATTCTTATATAAAAGAGATTCACCCACAAGTTTTTATTTAACACTTCTAAGTGCCTAGCACCAAGCAACCTACCAAGAAGTACCACTTTAAGCTTTGGAATAATATATACAAACATAGAAGAGAGGCAAGAAAGGAATTGGTGGGAAACTGAGGGAACGTGAGGTTTCCCAGTAGAAGTCATGATTGAGTGGATGGTGGACCCCTTTAATAAAGTTGTCTCTCCAGTATCTTAGATTATAAGTCTCTTAAACCTTGGACAACTGCATGTGAAGGTCACTCTGTGAACAACCAGGTCTCTCTGGGATAGATGTGCTATCAAGGATTAAACAACGAACTATGGTTAGATGTTTATAATCATCCTTCTTTTTTAAAAAAGCAATCATAGGATAAAACACTATCATCTGGATGGAATGCAATCTTTGTTTCTCACTGGTATCAGTTTCTGAATTTCCTATTCTATTCCAAATCATTGCTATCTGGGGGCCAGATCCATGATAACGCACTTGTTTAGCTTGAACTACACGATAAAGTCAGGCAGAGCATGATTCCCTTTATCAGTCTTTTTTTGTGCAGGATTTTCCAGCTCTTACTGTACATGAATGCATGGTTGTATATGTAGTTTCTTTTGGTGCACCCAGTTCTGGTCCCTTAACAATCCCTGTGGCGCAACCTCAGAGATGCTATTGACCTGCTGATAGCACGTATCTTTGTCCATTCATTCACTGATGACACTTAAATTGGGGGAACCAATTCTGGCAATATCTGTGTTACATCTATGAACATGAATGCATGACATCCTAAATCAGTTATATGGTTAACTTGTGTCAAATGATTTATTGAGTGGATTTCACTTGCATTCTTGGTACAAAGCATACTTGATTATAACACAATATTTTAGAGTTTTGACACAATGTTTTCTAATGTTTAAAATTTTTACTTTTTAATTCACATATCCTATTTCTCTATAATATTCTGTATGGCTTAATCAAAGCAAAGTTCTCATATCACCCTTCCTAAAAGATATTGAGGGGCTGGGGTTGTGGCTCAGAGGTAAAGCGCTTGCCTAGCAAGCATGAGGCACTGATTTGGTCCTTGGCACCACGTAAAAATAAAATAAAGCTATTGTGTTCACCCACAACTAAAAAATAAATGTTTTTTTTTAAAAAGATATTGAGATGACTGACTACAATTCTTCAATAATTTTAAGTAGCATGAGTTTATTAATTAATTTATTAGTAGAATTTTCTTCTGGACTCTGAATTTTGTGCTTTGTGTGTGTGTGTGTGTGTGCACGCATGTGTGTGTGTGTGTGTGTGTGTGTGTAAGGATTCTTTTATATGTGTTCCATTCCTTTATGGATATTATTGAATTTAGAATCTCTACATCTGTGGGATGAAGTTTGATAAGATATATATTCCAAGAATATACACACATAACACATACACACAGAGACATATATTATATACTATATATACATGTATGTGTGTGTGTGTGTATATATATATATATATAAAATCTACATTGCATGTTCATTGCATTAAATTGAATAAATTTGTCTACTGAATAAATTTGTCTTTGTTTTCTTGTATCAATTTAGTACTTCAAAAAAATTTTTTTTGCCTTGACCCCTGTTGGCACATCCTTCTCAAGCACTTTGTGTGACTCAATTTCTCTATTCATAACTAAATCATACTTTAATTCAGAGACTTTTGGACTAATGGTAAAAATGGATTTTCAGGGACTGGAGCTGCAGCTCAGTAGTAGAGCAGTTGCCTAGCATGTGTGAGGCACTGGGTTTGATCCTCAGCACCACATAAAAATAAATAAAGAAAATAAAGGTATTGTGTTCATCGACAACTAAAAAAAAATAAATTAATTAAAAAAAAAACACCCTGATTTTCAGCTAAAGAACATCTAAGGGAATTTGAGAATCCAGGCAGAACTTTGAGCTTCGCAATTCCTACTGTTTCAGATCTCAGCTTTCCCTTCTCCATCTACATGAGCCTCTGTGTGCCTCCAGGGATTGTAGAAAAGAAGAGCCTCCTCCAAACACCCTCACCTCTCTGTAGATGCTCAGGAGAAAGCTGTAATTGTTTTTGGTAATTGGTGCCTGGGACCAAGTGTTCCAAAAACATCTTCAGTTCCCCAAGCGTGAGCTGTCATTATCACGACAACTGAAATGATAACTGCAGTCCTGTGGATAGGAGAGGTCACAGTATAATAACCCATGTCCCAGACCTGGCTGCCTCCCTCTGCGCTTGGTGGCGATGCTGATGATCATCACTCTGTGCCCACCAGCCTGACAGCTGGAAGAAGCGGGCATTTTATATTTGGGTCTGCAAGTCAGAGTCTGCAAGAGAAAAAAGCTTATCAGGACACAAAGTAAGTCATCTTCTAGGCTGAAAACTAATGATTTCCAGAATCATGTTAGAAGAGGGAAATAATTACTAAGTTATGGGCTGAACTTGTGGAAGAGGAATAAAGGTCCAAGACCATAAGCTGCCCCTTAACCACTATTAATTTAACTTAATGTCATTCAGTTTGTTGTTGATTTTCAATGTGTGAAGATTTATTGTTCAAAATGCTCTAGTATACTTAAGAAATTAATCTGCTAGCTCTTTAATTATTCCTGAAAAAAAATTAAGGACAAGATCAGTAGGATTAACAGATATTTCTACAATACCCCTGTGCCAGTAGTAATATATGAGATGTAGCTGACTGAATTACATTATTCTGTTTAAAAATGATAAATTCAGGATTTCTTTTTGTAGGTGTACACCATGCCTTTATTTTATTCATTGTTTTTAATGTGGTGCTGAGGATTGAACCCAGTGCCTCACATGTGCTAGGCAAGCACTCTACCACCGAGCTACAACCCCCTCCCCAAATTCAGGATTGTTTGAATCCACTCTGGCACAAGACAGTGATTTTGTGTTGAAAGGAAATACCTTGCTACTTGGGACTGCTTTACTTCTAGAAGTCAGGGAAGGAGCATCCAGAAAAGGCAACTTTATGATCTTAGATTTTCATACTACAAAAAAAAAAAAAAAAAAAAAAAGAAGAAATAAAGAAAAGGAGGGAAAAGTCATAGATTTCTATAGCTTTCAGAATTGCATTAGTTTTTGATAATTTCTTTCTTTTTTTTTTTTTGGTCCTGGAGATTGAACCCAGGGCTTTGTGCATGCAAGGCAAGCACTCTATCAACTGAGCTATATCCCCAGCCCTGATAATTTCTCTTTAAAAAAAAAAAAATTCTAATGAGTTGCTAGGCTCAATACTCAGCTGAGAACTTTGAAATTTATTAGCAAAATTTATTAGCCTACTTTCACTTCTCCTTTTGCATAGTAAGCTCATGTTTTAAAGTAAGAATTCTGACATTGAAATAATTTCATTTAACATTTCTGCATTCACAAATAATCCCCCCCCAATTAATAGTAATCTAGCTTTTCCTTTTCAATATTTTGTCTCCCACTCTCCCTAAAGTTTCATGTTCCACTGCTTACTTAACATATTTATACTCCTGACCAAAAAAAATTTTTTTTCTGGCCTCCCACATGCTAGGAAAATGCTATACCACTGGGATATATCCTCAACATTTTTCCTTTTTTAATTTTATTTTTTAAAAATATTTATTCTTAAGTTTTAGGTGGACATAATATCTTTATTTTACATTTATGTGGTGCTAAGGATCAAACCCAGTGCCTTGTGCATGCTAAGCAAGCACTCTACCACTGAGCCACAACCCCAGCCCCCTTTTTATTTTTTTTAAATTTTGTCACAGGATCTCACTAAATTGCCCAGGCTGACCTCAAACTTGTAATCTTCTTGCTTCAAAAAGTAGCTGGGATTACAGGTGTGCATCACTATGCCTGGACATCTTAATTAAGATGGAGAAGAGTCTCCTCTTTTAATTCCAACATAGAATCATTTGGGCATTCATTAGATTTCATTTGGTCTTTCATGAATATTCTTTGAACATCAATCCCAAATCAGGCAATCTATATTTTTTTTTAAAGAGAGAGAGAGAATTTTTTAATATTTACTTTTTAGTTCTTGGCTGACACAACATCTTTGTTTTTGTATGTGGTGCTGAGGATCGAACCCTGGCCGCACGCATGCCAGGCGAGCGCGTTACCACTTGAGCCACATCCCCAGCCCGCAATCTATATTCTAATTGGCCCTCTGGATCATGACAGGAGATCGTTGCCAATGAAAGTTATATTTAAATGAAAACTTGCTAAAATCATAATGTATTCCAGTATAATCATTCTGTTAAAAAAACTGACATGATATACCAAAAAAAAGAAAATGTATGAAGTATTGTAAAAAGATAACTATGTCTGAGGTTGAGATCCATAGTGGTTATGTCTCTTATAAGGAGGTGATTTTACAAGTCAGTCAGCTTTCCTGTGCCTGAGATGACCTCATCTGTAAATTCTTCAAAGAATTGCTCTAAATATTATATGAAAAAAACATTAATGTAATTCTCTTACTGTGAGAATGTTTTTCTTCCTATAGAAAATCTCTTGGAGAAATAAAAATGTGCATTAATAGGAATGTATGCGTTGGAAACAAGGAGTATACGGTGGTGGATTTGAGTTCCCATAATAAAGCAGATCTCATGTTTCCAGGCAGGATCATCTTGCCCTGAATAAGAATATCCATCATTGTAAATGTCAGATGGCTTCCAAGGATTTGGCAATAGGAATAATCTTCTTATTCCAGACCACAGTGGGATTTATGGGAAATATCTTCTTTCTTTCCCACTATAGTGTCCTTTATTTTACCAGGTCCCGAGTAAGGCCCACAGACATGATTCTCAAGCACCTGACCGTGGCCAACTCCTTAGTCCTGCTGTCTAAAGGAGTCCCACAGACAATGGCTGCTTTTGGATCGAAACATTTCTTCAGTGATATTGGATGCAAACTTGTGTTCTATGTTCACAGAGTGGGCAGGGGTGTGTGCATTGGCAGCACCTGCCTCTTAAGCATCTTCCAGGCCATCATGATCAGCCCTATGACCTCCAGGTGGGCAGAGCTTCAACAACAAATTCCCAAATACATTGGGTTCTCCAACATCCTATGCTGGATCCTGAACATGTTGGTGAATAGTTTTATCCCTGTCTTTGTGACTGGAAACTCAAACAATAAAAACAAAACAAAGAAAAAGGAATTGGGATTCTGTTCTGCAATAGTCAGTAACCAAATAACAGGATCCCTAGTGACAGCACTATTGTTAGCCTATGATGTTTTGTGTGTGGGATTCATGATCTGGGCCAGCAGCTCCATGGTTTTCATCTTATATAGGCACAAGCAGCGGGTCAAACACATTCACAGTACCAAACACTCCCTCAGATCCTCCCCTGAGACCACAGTCACCCAAAGGATCCTTGTCCTAGTGAGCACCTTTGTATCATTTTACACCCTCTCATCCCTGTTTTTAATCTTTTTGTCTTTTTATGATGCCAATGAATGGCTAGCAAACATCTCTGCACTAATCCCTGCTTGTTTCCCTACAGTCAGCCCCTTTATTCTCATGAGCAATGACCTCAAAATATCTGGGTTCCACTCATTCTGTTGTGGAAGGAATAGAGCAGGCTAAGATGATCACAGAGCATTACTTAATTTTTTTTAAATTTTTAGTTGTAGACAGACACAATACCTTTATTTTATTTATTTTTTATTTTGTGGTGCTGAGGATGGAATCCGGTGTCTCAAGTATACTAGGCAAGTGCTCCCTCACTGAACTATAACTCCAGACCCCAGAGCTATACCTTTTTTTTTTTTTTTAATTGTTGATAGACCTTTATTTTATTTATTTATTTTTATGTGGTGCTGAGGATCGAACCCAGTGCCTCATGCATGCTAGGCGAGCACTCTACCACTAAGCCACAACCCCAGCCGCCCCACCTCCAGAGCTATATTTTTGATATGCTTTTTGTCTTGGCATTTTCCTGTAATGTGAAGCTATTTCTTCATCCTTTTATATAGTGCTTTAAGCACCCAAAGATGTTCACACTAGAGAGAATGTAAATGATAGACCAAGTCTCTCCTTTCATTGGATTTATCATGAACTAAGAATGTAAAGTACAGACTAAAGATTTTGCAAAATGCTTTTATAATCTCTTATTAAATTGCAAGAGAGAAGTTGAAAGTCTAAGAATTTGTGAGAAAAATGGGTTTTCTAAGCACTTTGTAAAAATAGAAATATTATCCAAGTATATAACTTTAAATTGATCACCTAAAATTGTTCTGAAATTAACTGGATACAAAAATATAAGTGAACTTAAATGAAATAGAAGAGCCAGAGTTTGATCAGTCAGGAAACCTAGATGCCCTTCAATAGATGAACGGATGAAAAAACTGTGTTATATATACACAATGGAATATTACTCAGCATTGAAAGAGAATAAAATTATGGCATTTGTAGGTAAATGGATGGAGTTGGAGAATATCATGCTAAGTGAAGTAAGCCAATCCCCAAAAAACAAAGGCTGAATGTTCTCTCTTATAAGTGAATGCTGATCCATAATGGGGGGGACATGGGAAAAAAATGGAGGCACTTTGATGGGTCAAAGGGGAGGGAGAGATGGAGAGGAGGAATGGGGGAAGGAAAGATGATGGAATGAGATGGACATCATTACCCTAGGTACATGTATGACTGTACATGTGGTACGACTCTACATCATGTACAGAGAAATGAAAAGTTGTGCTGCCATTGTGTACAATGAATCAAAATGAATTCTGCTGTCATATATACCTAATTAAAATAAACAAATTAATTAAAAAAAAAAAGAAATCAGGCAGAGAGGCTGCAGTTGTGGCTTAGTGGTAGAACGCTCGCCTAGCACGGTTGAAGCACTAGGTTTAATCCTTAGCACCACATAGAACTAAATAAATAAAGGTATTGTGTTCATTTACAACTAAAAAGAAAGCAGGAAGAAACATGAAGCCTCTGCAGGAGTATCCTGGGTTGGAGCTGGAGGGGAAATCATGTATCAGATATTGGGGGATATCAAAGACCAGGTAGCTGGGCATGGTGGCTTATGCCTGAAATCTCAGCTGCTCAGGAGACTGAGGCAGGAGGATCATGAGTTAAAAGCCAGCCTCAGCAATTTAATGAGGCCCTAAGTAGCTCACTGAGACCCTGTCTCAAAATAAAATATAAAAAAGGGCTGGGATGTGGCTCTGTGATTAAGAGGCCTTAGGTTCAATCCCCTGTACCAAAAAAGACCAGGTTTTACCGTTTTACCTTAAATCTAAGAAATTTAGCCATTTAAAATATGTGACATTTGGGGAGTAGGTGAAAGAGAGGTACATTTAAAAAATATTAAAATAGACAATGACCTGGATGGGACAAAGTATCCGCAAGAATCACATAAAGAAGCTTTGAATTCAATTTGCAGCTCATAAACACGAGAGTTATAAAGAAAACCTACAGGTTTTTTCGAGTCAGTCTTTGAAATAAGACAGAATATTCTTAAGCAATAATCTCAATTAATGTGTTCAAAATCTGGGGTCTGGGGCTGTAGCTCAGTGGCAGAGCACTTCACGTGTGAGGCACCGGGTTTGATCTTCAGCACCACATAAAAATAAACAAATAAAATAAAGGTATGCTGTCCATCTACAACTACAAAAAAAAAAAAAAAAAAAAAAAAAAAGAAGTACCTGGGTGGACCTCATATTGTGAACCTTGGGAAATGAATGTTCAGTGGAATCAATCACTGTCCAGGGGAGGGTAAGACAAGATATCTGGGCATAAACTTCATGTTTCCATTTGTTGAGGGGAATAATGGTTGCTCTGAAACAGCCAATGAAGAAATATTTGATAAAATCATACAACATTTTTTTATCATGATGAATAACTTCAAGACCTTTTGTGATTTGTGAGAAAAAGCACATGAGAAACATGGAGGAATCAGATATTTGAACAATAAACAAGCCTGACCTAACAGCTATCTACTGAATATGGGTGTTACATCACGTTTCTCAGCACATATGGAAAAAAATTTAAAAACATTTTAGAGAATAACTTTTCTACCCATTTCCATTTTTTAAATAGTTCGTTAAAGAATTTAGAATATTAAAATCTCTAAAAAGCTGAACAGTATTTTATTAAATAATTATAATTTTTAAGGTAAAGAAATGAAAAATACTCCATTTCAAAATTTTGTACCATAGTTGCTCCTCAAATTGGAAGAGCTCAGCATGGTGACACACCTGTAATCCTAGTGACTCAGGAGGTAGAGGCAGGAGGATCGTCATTTCAAGGCCAGCCTCAGCACCTTAGCAAGACCCTAAGCAACTGTTATGGTTTGGATGCGAGTTTTCCCCCAAAAGTTCATGTGTGAGACAATGCAAGAAGATTCAGAGAAGAAACAATTGGGTTATGAGAGCCTTAACCTAATCAGTGGAATCAATCACCTGGTGAGATTAAGTGGTAGCTGAAGGCAGGTGGGCTGTGGCTGGAGAAGGCGGGGCATTGGGGGCATGGCTTTGGGGTATATATTAGTGTCTGGTAAGTGGAGTTGCTGTCTCTGCTTTCTGATCATGGTGAGCTGCCTCCCTCCGCTAAGCTCTTCTGCCATGATGTTCTGCCATGATGAATGAAGCCTGCTGTCTGTGCATTGAGACCTCTGAAACCGTGAGCCCCCAAATAAGCTTTTCCTCCTCTATCATTGCGCTGGTCAGGTCCTGTTAGTCACAGCAGCAAAAGAGCTGACTAAAACAGCAACTCAGTGAGACCCTGTCTCAAATAAAATACAAAGAAAGAACTGGGGATGTAGCTCAGTGGTCAGGTGCCCCTGAGTTCAATCCCCAGTACAATAAATCAACAAATAAATAAATAGGTATGTGTCTATCTATAATTAAAATATTTTAATAATAAAAAATAAAAAGCTAAATGCAAATAATATGTAATAGTAAAGTATAAGTTAGAACAAGTGTTACATGAAAGAAAATTAGAAAGAATAAAATGTATAATAAAATATTGCCAAAATGTGGGACTTCCAAAATATAAAGAATAAACAGTATTTAAAGCTAGTGATATAATAATTTAAACGTATAGGGACCAATATAAAAAACTTATAGTAGGGCTGGGGATGTGGCTCAAGCGGTAGCGCACTTGCCTGGCATGCGTGCCGCCCGGGTTCGATCCTCAGCACCACATACAAACAAAGATGTTGTGTCTGCCGAAAACTAAAAAATAAATATTAAAGTTCTCTCTCACAATCAAAAAAAAAAAAAAATAAACTCCCATTAAGCTTGACACTTAAAAAAAAACTTATAGTAATAAACTGGGTAAACTGAGAGGTAAAAGTGACTTGTATAGGGGTTGGGAATATAGCTCAGTTGGTGGAGTGATTGCCTCACATGCAGAAGGCCCTGGGTTCAATCCCCAGCACCACAAAAAAAAAAAAAAAAATCAACAGTGACTTGTATAAAATAGATGAATTAAGATAAATTAGGAAATAGAAAATCATAAATTTTAAATAGTGTTTTCATAAGTATTAGTCAAAAGTTCTATTTATTGGGGCTGAGGCAGTAGCTCAGTGGCAGAGCACTTGCCTAGCACATGTGAGGCACTGGGTTCAATCCTCAGCACTGCATAAAAATAAATAAAAAAAAAAAAGGTATTGTGTTCATCCACAACTAAAAAAGAAAATCAAGAAAAAGTTCTGCTTACTAAATTAATCATGAATTAACTGTTTCTGAGACAGGGTCTTGTATGTTGCCCAGGCTGGCCTTGAATTTATAATCTTTCTGCCTCAGCTTCTGGAGTAGCTGGGATTACAGGTTTGTGTCACTGTATCTGGCTCTTATTATTTGATATAAAACTTTTTCAATATTATTATTATTATGGATGCTACGGCCTAAACATGGAAGACTGAGGAACTTCTGGATCCGAGGGCCCAAAGATGGACGTGCACCTGAGGAATTTCAGGATCCGGGGGGTCTAAACGTGGATGCCTGATGCATTCCAGATCCTGGAGCCTAAACATGGACGCCTGAGGCACTTCCAGATCCTAGAGCCTAACCATGGATGCTGAGGAACTTTCGGACCCCGGGGCTTAAACATGGATGTGCACCTGAGGAACCTCCGGATCCGTGGGCCTAAATATGGACGCCTGAGGAACTTCTGGGTCCAGGCGCCTAAACATGGACACCTGAGGAACTTCCAGATCCTAGAGCCTAAACATGGACGTGCACCTGAGGCACTTCTGGATGCTATGGCCTAAACATGGATGTGCGCTCGAGGAACTTCCGGATCCAGGCACCTAAATATGGACATGCACCTTTGAAACTTCTGGATCCAGATCTGGGGGCCTAAACATGGATGTCTGAGGAACTTCCGGATCCGGGGGCCTAAACATGGACGTGCACCTGAGGAATTTCCAGATGCTAAGGCCTAAACATGGAGGACTGAGGAACTTTCCGATCCAAGGGCCCAAAGATGGATGTGCACCTGAGGAACTTCCGGATCCTGGGGCCTAAACATTGATGCCTGAGGCATTCCAGATCCTGGGGCCTAAACATGGATGCCCGAGGCACTTCCTAGAGCCTAAACATGGATGCTGAGGAACTTCCGGACCTGGGGGCTTA